ATATCCTTTTTAATATAAATTTGGGTAAATAAATGCGTTCTAGATAATTTTTATTAATTTGACGACACAAAAGCAAATATATGCAAGATTGATATCAGTAACAAAAAGTGTCCTAGAACTCCTAAAATGTGTCTACTACTGTATTATTTAAATAAGCTTCTACTAACATAAAATAAAATAAAAAGCCAAATTTTATTAATTATATAATTTTATTTTATATTATATATATTATATACAGTATCTATAACCTTTAGCAACACTTAAAATATTTAATATATATAAAACCAGTTAATTTTAATAGAGTTAAGACACAAAAATGTTGCGATTACATAATTGTGAAGCCATGATCAATCAGGTGATATCTAAATTGAACTATCGAAACAATCGAGACAGGATTCGGAAACACGAGGCAGCCAATCAGCTATTGCGTGAGTGAATCAACCATATAAATAGTAAAGGAATTCTTACTCACCATCAAATGCTACTATTAGATAAACTTAGAGTTCTTTCTTTTTTGAGAAACACAAAATAACTGTTTTTTCAGTTTTTTTCCTCTCGTAAATATTTTAAAAAACAAAAACGATCTTATTATATAATAAAATAGTATACTTATAAGAAAGCCTTGAAATACAGCAATGGGTCTTACCTATCGTACCTATCTCAATGGTACCCGAATTTTTGGTTGTAATAAATGTCGAACGCACCTTTCCACGACCGACAGTATTATTTCAAAGGTCTTGCACTTTTTTAAATAATTTAGCAGGTTTGGATTTTTCATACATATTTCAAAAATTATATAATTTGCATCTTATCGCAGGCTTTTCAGGGACAGCATGGGCGTGCTTACCTTTTCGATACAGTGTAACTATTTTATCTTAAAAATCTTAAAAATCGTTGCACTTTAGTTCATAATTAGTAAATGAGGTAATAATATTTTTTGATAGGGTTAATGTGGAAGAAGGCCCGTCCGAGGATCGTCATATGACTACAGGCCTTCATACTGTAAAAGATATTTATTGTTCTCGTTGCAGATCTGTATTAGGATGGAAATACGTAAGTAGTTTTATCAGTTGATCACAACTTTTAAGTTTTTTTTAAATGGAAAATTAATAATAATTCTTACGTGATATTTCTAGGAGAGAGCATATGAACAAAGCCAACGCTATAAAGAGGGGAAATACATTCTGGAAAAGCAGCTTCTTACTGACGTCATTTGACGACTAAACATGAACATGCTTCCTTAAATTGCTTAAACGAATTAAAAAAGCTTCCAAGACTTTGCAATCATAAGATAATTATGATCCGTTGGTGATCCCTTATCATGACCTAATGTGAATAGTTTTATAATTTAGTTTCTTACACACTTCGTGCATATATGCTGATTCCACCTTAATAATTAGATAAACTAGATTGATAATTCTTCTTATATACACAAACAATAGTTAATGTTCATATACACTAGGTCTTCTCTTATAATAATTCCTGGGATTGACTTTAAACAGAAGTTATATTCTGTTTGATATATGACAATGCAATTATGCTTTTTTTCTTTTTATTTTTAGTTTCTTTATTTCTCTTGTATTGTATGTTTCCTTCGGAGGTTTACGCATTGTTTTGATCTAAATAAATTTTTTTTTTTAAAAAAAAAACAAAAAAAACGAATTTTTTTTACTTCATGAAATTGAATGATGACCCAATGTTTGATTCAAAAAAGTTTAGTTATTCTTTCTAGATTTTAAAACTTGTACGATATCTTCTAATTTATATTCATTTTGAATTTTTAAATCTAAATCTTTTAATGTCACTTTATCATTCATAATTTCATTTTCTCCTACCAATATTGCGTGAGAAGCATTTGTTTTTACAACGTTTGCCAATATAGTTTTCAGTGATTGTTTATGTATATTCGATATATGATAAAAAAATGTTTTAATATTATGCGAACGTAACACACTAGAAATTTTAAGACCATAGTTATAAAGAATCATATCATTACTTGTTCTACAATTGTCTGTTGATAAAATAGTCTTATCTCGATCTTGAATAATGACAACTGCAATTGGCCTTTCCTGTGGAATCATAATATCATCACGTAATATTGCGGCTAGCCTGTTTACTCCTGCAGCCCATCTGCTTATAATAAATAAAATCAATAAAAGAAAATAAATAAAATCAATAAAAGAAAATAAATAAATAAATATAAAAGCGAATTAAGAATAAAATGACATACCCTATTCCTGGAACTTTTTCTTTTCCACCCATTAATTGAACAAGACTATCATATCTTCCACCAGCAAGCACAGTTCCTTGTGAAACACCGAGTCTAGAGTCTATACATTTGAATTCAAATATAGTATCTTCATAATAATCTAATCCTCTAACCATTCGAGGATTAACTTTATAAGGTATTTCTAATTTTTGAAGTCCTTGACACACAGCATCAAATCTTTCGGCAGATGTCGTATTATAAAATTCTGTGATTGATGGACAATTTTGAATGATTGGAATGTCTTCCGGGTTTTTTGAATCTAGAACACGCAAGGGATTCGTTGATATTCTTTTGAATGAGAAGCAGGATTTAGCAAATTTGATTTGGAAAATATAAACTCCTGATTAGAAGGAAAAAAAACTACCTCTTTACACTATCCGAAGAAAGACGTGATGCATTCTTGCGCAGATAATCTCTTACAACCTCGCAATAACGCGTACGAGATTCCATATCAGCCAATGAATTAATTTCTAGCTACGTTAAATATTATCACATTAGATCATTTAACGGATTTAAAAATTGTAAATTAACAGAAAATATATTACCTCAAACGGTGTACCAGTATCTATTTTATTTAAGAATGCCCAAGCCATTTCAATTATCTCAATATCAGAAGTTGGATTTTCATAGCCAAACATTTCAACGCCAAATTGCTCAAACTGTAAACATATAAAGTGGAAATGATAAGCTAGTTATTAGAGAAAAACTTTTGCTTACAAACACCCCATTAAAGTAACATCATTAAACGTTCACCTGCCTTAACCTTCCTTTTTGAGGTCGTTCACGACGAAACATGGGTCCATGGTAGTAAAACTTTTTGGGTAGATCACGATCCATATTGTTGTTAATTAATGCTCTGACAATACCTATAAATTAAATAATAATTTTGTCATTATTCGGAAGGTTTAAAAGCTATTTTCGGAAAATTAGACTCACCTGCCGTTCCCTCAGGTCTCAACGTCAATTTATCATCATGATCGATAAAACTGTACAATTCTTTTCCAACAATATCTGACTCACTACCCAGAGTTCGTTCAAATACTTGCGAAAATTCCAATATTGGTGTGGATATCTATTTTCATCTATTATTATTTTAACGCAATTATGATAAAATTCCAAATTTTCTGTCATATACCTGTTCAAAACAGTATAACTCTGCAATCGAAGTTCCGATCTTCTGTATGTATGTAAATTTTCCATTTTCAACACCAAACCGATCATGCGTTCCCTTAACGGTTCTAGCAGGCTCTATTCTGCCTGACGTGAAATTTTATTAATAATGTAATACAAACTATACAAGTTGAATAAAGGAACATACTATGATACCTATTTATTGGTTTCCCTGTCACCTGTGATATAGTTCTTATAAATACTCGTTGCTGCGGTAATAGAAAACGCAAATACATATCGATATTTGTTACAAAAGTTTTTTAGCGTTAAACGGAATGATTATCAGTAAAATTTTTTTTTGGCGATAATCCGGAGTTCGGAGTCGACTAATTAACCAATAATCGAGGATTATGTCACATGATCTTACATTATATTTCATAAAAAAATTTCCAATATGTCCACTGTTCCTGCAACAACTAATTCGAAACTTAACGAAGAGAAAAGTTATTATACACAGCTGCACTAGTTCTATACCGTTTTTTCACAGTTACTGACTTTTGTCTATAAGAAAGAAGATATTTAGCATACCCAAATTTTTGAAGTTCATAGAGTGGTGTCAAACATTCCAGAATCATTAAATAACCATTTTATTTTCAATAAACACAACTACACAGCTTCCAACAGCCCGAGACATTAAATCCTATTACAATTGAAATTTCTAATCCACTTGAGTCCTTTCGCAAGTATCAAAGGTAGAGTACAATATTTGAAATTTAATATAAATTCAGTTGGACGTTATTTAGATTAATGGCCCGAATTTAGGCTTAATTTAGGCCAAAATTCGAAATTACACCCCTGCACGTTATTTCGTTAAAACAGCCAATTACGTATTGGTGTTGTCTCTTCCTAATTATTTTTTTCAAACTCCTTGAAAACCAATTTTTTTTTTTTAAAAAAAAAAAAAAGTGTTCAATTTAAATTTTTATTTTATTTTTTCAAAAAGATGCCAGAAATTTCTGTTGCTACTGTTGTAATTGGATTCATTGATGTCAATGTTAAGAAAGCTGCTAAGAAAGGACGGAGACTTGAAAAAGAAGTTTATGAGCTCTTAAAAAGACTTAGTTTAGAGTATATACATACGGGGTGAGTTTTTCTTATTGAATATTGTTAGTTATAGTACGGCCACTATTGATCATGAGTATTACACCATTTATGTTATAAATCACTTTCTTTTTATTTCGTCATTCATGCTTGT